ACTTCTCTGCTCTCTTCATAAAAACACAAAAGTGACTTGAAGCCAGTAAAGTTCTTCCCCTGGCAGCAGATGCCACAGGCTCTTTCCTGCACAGTTCTGGCTCTTGGGGCATTTTGCTTAGGGAGCTTTGATCCAAGACAAGAAGCTAAATCAGCACATTTAAAGCCCTGAGCAAAATATGATTCTACGTAAGAATGGCAAATAAAAAAAACCACCTCATTACTAACCAGTGAACCACAAAACAAGCAGGGTCCAGAGCCTTCCTGCTCACACACAATGCGCCCGCAGACCAAGCAGTTGTTGATGAGCCTGTGTTTCTGGCCCAAGCACTCGCAGGCATGACGGCCAGGGATCAGGACAGCCAGCCTGTCTTGCCCTTCTTTGGTGTACAGGCTGACATATTTGGTCTTTCTCTTACAGGAATTGCTGCTGCTTGCAGTGCTGTTCTCCTGTGCCTGAGAAGAAAAATAAAGAAACTGTGTTCACACTGTAATACTAGCAGCAAAGAGAAAGCACTGATACTTGACCAGGCTATGAAGATTCAGATAATCTCTATTCTGCCTAATCAGAATGAAATTTCCCCAGGTCCAAACCAAGACAACTGAAGGAGAACCTTAGGCCTACCATAAACAATCCGAGGCATCTCACCAGAGCAAGGACATGAGGATGCTGCAGGCCCATTTGATCTCTTTGCTGCCTCTGCAAGCTGAAATCACTTGGTCTAGATGGCAGATGTGCTGTCAGTCCTGCACGTGTGCAGAGGTTTTCCATGTTCTGCACATTCACGTAAGCACAACAGACTCCAGACACAAACCCATCTCATGACACTGGGCGAGACTTGTTTCAAGTAAGAATTGCACACTAGCCATGACCAAGAAAAGGTAGGACTTAATATCTTGATGTCAGCAAGCATCATTCACATATAAACACACTCTGGGCTTGCCATAATCGTGACGCTTAACACTCCTCTTGCAGCTCAAGAACAGCATCTCTTTGCCTCTTCTCTGCAGAGGCTCCCTGACCGGTAGAAAAGAGGAAACCATTCCCCACAAGGCCTGTTTTAATTCACCACTGAGCAACAACTTGCCTCTCCAGCTGCTGCATGCTCAAGGATGGACACGTAGCTCACACACTGGGTTTCCCAGCAGTAGTGACACACTGCAGCATACCTCTTGCTTGGCTGCTTTCACCAGCTTACCCTGTGCTCTGCTCTAAACCAAGCTACTAGCTACATACTAGCTACATAAACCAAGCCACATAGCTTCACAATGAAAAGATAAAGCATTTCTAGTCCTCTCAGCTCTGCCCAATTGGCTTCGCTGCCACTACCAGATTCAAACTCCACTGTTCAGCAGAAACAAAAACAGATACAGTGATCCCAGCACCTCGGCAGAAGTTTCTCAGTATTTCCAATAGGTTGAGAGAGAACTAGAAGGAAATCATAGAACCATAGAATCACTCAGGTTGGACAAGACCTTAAAGATCATAGAGTCCAACCATGACCTGACCACACACCCTAACTAACAGCCCTCTGCTAAATCACGTCCCTGAGCACCACATCCAAATGGTTTTTAAACACATCCAGGGATGGTGACTCAGCTGCCTCCCTCTGGAGCCCATTCCAGTGCTTCACAACCCTGTCTGTAAAGAAGTGTCTCCTGATATCCAACCTAATCTTACCTTGGTACAACTCGAGGCCATTTCCCCACGTCCTGTCACCTGTCATCAGTGAGAAGAAACCAACCCTGCTCTGCTGCAATCACTTTTCAGCTACTGGAAGAGAGCAATAAGGTCTCCCCTCAGCCTCCTCTTCCCCAGACCAAACAGCCCCAGTTCCTTCTCCTCACAGGCCATATTCTCCAAGCCCTTCACCAGCCCTGTTGCCCTTCTTTGGACCTGCTGCAGCACTTCCACTGTCCTTTCTGTACTGAGGTGCCCAAAACAAAACAGAAGCCAAGGTGAGGCCTCACCAGTGCAGTGCAGGGCAGGATGACTTCCCTGGTCCTGCTCACCACACCATTCCTGATCCAAGCCAGGCAATGGAACATCATCCACCCCATAGTTCCAAAAAGGTTTGTTTTGTAAATCCTTACAAATATTTTAAGCGTTTGCACTTTCCCTACTACAGAACCCTCAGTTTAAAAACATAATTAAGTTCCACCATTTATTCAGGTGCAGCCCTAACTTTTAAGATTCGTATGATCCTCCACAGCTTCACAAGGTGACACGTAGACAAATCACAGAAATTAGCTCTGGGGATGTGCACCATGCTCAGTGTTTGTAGCACAAAGGAATCCATTGCAGATCTAACAAAGCCAGTTAAGTGCAGCACAATTCCACACATTTGTCCTGCATAGCACACTCAGCAGAAATAAAATTCAGAAATTCAGTCTGGGTAACTACAACAATATTTGATAGCACAGGTCATCAAATTTGACAAACAGTTCTATTGAATGGAAAACAAGTCTGCTACAAAATGTATTAATTAGCTATCAGAAAGAAAGGTAATGAATGCTTGCTGGCCTTGCGCTGCTTTGAGACAGGATATCCTGGTTTTTAGTGTTTCTATTCTCATATTCTGCAGCTTCTTTCAGTAGAGCTCTAACATTGAAGGCCTCCTCTCTGGAGCAACATGAGCCTGAAATATTCCAGTTTTCCATGAAGGCTTTATTCATTGTGATCGCCAAGTTTCAAACATAGCAAGAAGCAACATTTTGCACACATTCCTTAATGCCACAAGCTTCAAAACTTCACTCCCACCATTCCCAAGAATATTATTCGCCCCATGGCAGGAAAAGACTCCTATATACACACAGAGCGAGTACTGCCTGCTCAAACCTGCATTCAGCTTCAAAAGGAGTGGCAACACAGAAACAGCCACCACGACAGGCAGCCATGCAGTCAGTGCTCATGTATCAGATGCACCCACCTTGGCTAGGTCGAGGGGGGTTTTTACTTCCTCCACATGTGTGCTGGGCTCCACATATGCAGGTGTTTCCTGTTTATTCCTTCCTTTGCGTTTCCCCTTCTTTGCTTGGTCTCCAGCCCGAGGTGCCTCTGATGTCTCTGCAAGAACATGTAAGCACAAAGGCTCAGAGCAAGTGGCAATGGGACACCCCTCAACTCCTGCACCCACTTAGGGAATGGAAATTGGCTACGTCGCAACGTACAGAAATAGGACCACCCATAGGCATTAATGGTAAATGATTTTCTACAAGCAGAATAACCAAGACTATAATCAGAATAATCAAGATACTTAACAGTTCAACTCCTCCCTCCCCGTACCACTCACCATCCTTTTTCCGATAGGCCGGTAAGGGCTCAGCAGGTGACTGCGAGGACTGCTGCCAGCGCGACAGCAGCTCTTCCACAAACCTCCCCTTCTTTCCCTCGGTGCCTTGGAGGAGATCGACCACGTACTCACGGATCTCATCCTCGTTTGTTATCGACAGGATGTAGCTGCAGAACGGTGGGATGGAGAGAAGTGGGTATGGGGGCTTTTGTTGTCAGGACTCCAACGGCCTGATCACACACACAAGGAACTAGCAGAACTCATCTCCCCTCTTCATACCAGGTTTTTGTGGAGTTTATAGGAAGGGAAAGGAAGTTTTCTAACATAAATGCTTGAACAGATGCATTGGGAAAAGTCTTGTGGCGTTTTCAGTTAAATTAATAATAAAGGAAAACAAACTGCCTTTCTTCCTCCATTCTGGGCTAAGCGACATTCCCGTTGCCCCATAATCATAATAAATAATCAGTGGGTTGTTGTTTGCGCTCACATAAAGTAAAAAAGCCTAAACCTAAGACAATGAGAAGCTCCTGCTTAACCACACAGAGCCCACAGCTAAACACACACCCCTCTCAGTGCCAAAATCAAGGGCAATCCGAGGCACAGAGGTGCCACGGAGCCATTTGGGGAGCAAGTCCCCCAAAGCCAGATAAAGGGGACAGCTGCTGGGTTCCCTAAACAGCTTCCTAACGGCAGCTGTCGTGCTGGGTAACAGACGGGTCCGAAAGAAGGATTTCCCATCTGCTCACGTAGAGGATGCGAACCAGGAGTCGAGGAGAACCGAGGGACATGTGGGGGACCTGGGGAGGGCCGTGAGGGGAAGGGAAACCCTCAGGAGGTACGAGGCACGGGGAGGACGTGAGGAGGACCGAGGGACCAGGTTGGGGAAACGGGAGCGGAACGGGGGAGCCCTGCGGCAGCGCGATGCAGGGCGGCCCGTGGCGGCGGGCAGGCTCACCGCACGACCTCCTCGCCCACGTCCAGCCCGAAGTCGCCGCGCAGGCGCCGCACACACCAGCCCAGCAACGCGCCGGGCACCGCCATCTTCGCGTGGGGACGGGAAATGGCGGCGCACCGCCGTCCCCCGGAAACGCGGCCCCGGCGCTCCCGTTCCGCGGGTCGAAGAACCGAGCGGCGTTCTCCTCCGAGAGCTTATCGCGTTTTGCCTCAGCCGGGCTCTGGGACAGGTCACCCTCTCAGGGCTTTGTTACGAAAAACGCAGCCTGTACGCACCTACCCTATACACAAACATCGCATACACGCATCCTTTTTTAATACTAAGTGACGGAGAAAAAGCTGGCAGAGCAGGAAAGCCTGGTGCCGCCCCCGATACGGCCGCGCTACGAGGACCGCGAGGAGCCGAGCAGCAGCAGGATGAGGGCTGCACGACCCCGGCCATCACAGAGGGCGAGGGGGCCGAGCGACCGGCCGCGGGAAACTGCGATAAGAGACGGGAAACTGCACGAGATTCCGAGAAGGGGGACGCGGAGCTGGGCAGGAGAGCGGCCGTCAGCTACATGCGCGGTCCAGGCGGTACCCAGCTCCAGGCTGCGGCTGAACGGCCCCTCAGCGCGGGGCTGAGGCGAAACTCGGTGAGGGGAGGAGCGAGCGCTGAGGTAACTCGCTCTCCCATTGGCGGGTTGGTGGGTCGGCGCTGAGGTAACTCGCGCTCCCATTGGTGGACGTGTGTCGGTAGTGCTGCTGGCGCGGGATGGCGCGCATTAAAGGGAGCGGTGTTTGCGGCGCGTACCGTAAAGGTGAGGGCCGAGGTGGGGACTTGCGTCAGGGCCTGCTGCTCACCGTCTGTCGCTCACCGCAGTGTTGGCCCGCCGCGCACCGTGGAAGGTGCTGAGCTCAGGCAGGCTCAACACGGCCCGCTCGCCGCCGCGACCTGCCCGGCGCATCGGGGGAAACCCGATGTGTGTGAAGCCCGTTCCCGCCTGGCAGGAGGGCATCGAGGAGTTCCTGCGGCGCAGCAGTACAGCGATCCCGACGGAGAAGCGGCAGGGAGCAGCGGGCAGGGCAAGAAAAGGCAGCACGGGGCTAGCTGAGGTCCTCAGGTTGCTTTCCTGCAGGAGATCTGTTTGCTCTCACAGTCTCCCTGAGCCCTTTCTCGTCTGCTGCCCTGCGGAACGCGGCTCGTCGCGTGGAAAACAGCGGGCGTGATCTTAAAAAAACTGAGCTTCAGTTCAGCTTTTGAGCAGGACTAAAAGTAGACGTTTGAGAGGCTATGGGGGAAGATGTGGTAAAATTGGGGTGAAACTAAGACGTTTCTGAAGCACAGTGATAGCACACCGTGTCACGGAGTTCCCCGTGCCCTGGGACTTGTGGGCACAGAGCGAGAGGTGCGTTCTGGAGAACTTCACCTCTGTTATTATTGCTACTGCGACCTTAACGTAGTGTTCTGCTTTGGAGTTCCAGGTTCCTCAGACCCCCTCATTTCTTGTAAGTCTGGTGATTTGATGGTAATACCCTCGGTGAGGCCCGTGTGAACACTGCAGCTTCTTTAATTGTGGGGGACGAAGAAGGAAACCCAAAACCCAGTGGTCTTGAGTGCTCTCTGTAAGTAGATTTTAAAATGTTTTTAATAAAATAGGAACAAGCAGAGAACTGCTAACAGAAGTTAAACCAACTACCGTGGCAGCATTGCCTAATTTATTTGTCTCAGTTCGTTAGAGCTCTTGCAAACATTCACAAAGACGAAAAGAAGAAATTCCCCACGCTGACAATAGATGTCAGCAGCACTTCCAGCTACCAAGGGCTGGGCTGTGCCGGTAACCCGGCAGTGCACGTTTTGCCCTTTTTTTTTTTTTTTTTTTTTTTTTTTTTTTTACATCAGAAAGGTGTTGGTGCTGTGAAGAGGTTTTTGGGCACGTAGCAAAGCAGCATTCAGGGAATATGTGATAGTGGGGATTTGATGGTGCTGGGGCCTTGGGTAAGGACTGTTGCGGCCAAGCTCTCTGCATACCCCCTTTCCTGGTGTTTTTCTGCTTTCCTTTAAAAAACAAACTCATTTCTGAGTAACGAACGTACCCATTTCTGTCCATCTGAAGCTGGTGGGCCTGCACATTGCTGCTGCACACCGAGCCGATGCTGAGGCTGCTTCCAGCAGGAGAAAGGAGGACGGGACGCAGCCTCCTGCCGAGTGCCAGCGGTGCGTGAGGAGCTGGAGGCTAGCGCACAGCCTGCAGGACGCCCCTCCGCTCCTCGTCGTTGCCCACTTGCCCCATGCTGACTGGGGCTGGCGACCCGTGAGGCCCTTCGGGTGGCGGCTCCTGGCGCGGCGCTGAGCGACGCCCGACAGCGGCACGATTGTGCGCTGCGCGCTGCACAAAGCCGCATTGTCACAGCCGGTGCGTGGAATGGGGCCGCCGCGCCCCCGGCGGCGGCCGCGCTGTGACAAGTGCCCCACAGCGGGGCCGCGCAGCAGCCCGGCGCTGCCCAGAGTGGCTGCGGGAGGCCGGGGCGGGCCGTGACACGGGCAGGACAGTGCGGGACGGGGAGCGGCTGTAAACTGGAAAGGGAGGTACGGGGTGAGAGCTGCGAAGTTGTTCTCTGCGAGGGCGGGGAGCCCCGGCACAGGCGGCCCTGGGGGCCTCGTACTTTAAAAAAGCAAACGGTGAATGTTAACGTGGTGCCGGCTTTGTTGTACGGTTAGTTTGTGCCGTTCCGCGGCCGTTTCGTCCTCCCCGCCCACACGCCGCCCCGACACCGGCCCGGCTTCCGCATGGCAACCGGACGCGGTTGCTAGGGCGAGCCCGCCGCCGCCGCCACCCGGAAGTGCTGCGGGGCGGCGCCGCCGCTTCGTCGCCATAGGGCGGTGCCTGGGGAGGGGCGGGGCTTCCCCGAGCGCTTCCGGGTCGGCGCTCTCCCCGTCGAGCGCGGCGGAGGGAGGAGCAGCGGCGGGGCCTGGCCGGCCCAGCCCAGCTCAGCCCGGCGCAGCCAGGTAGGGCCCGGGGCCGGGGGGTTCGGGGCCTCGGGGCTCGGCCGTGCCGCGCCCGGCCTCTTCGCGAACGAGGGCTCGTTCGCGGAGCCGCCCTGAGCGCGGGCGGGAGCGAGCGTCCGTACCCGGAGCCGCCTCACCGGGTGCGGGGCCCGCGAGCGGCTGCCCCTGGGGCTCCGTCGTAAAGAGGGCTTGTCGCGGGTGGGGCCGTGCCGCGTTTCCCGGCGGAGCGGCGTCCCGAGCCGTGCCCGGGCTGCGTGCGGGGCTCCGGCTCCTTTGTGTCCCCCGGTGCCCGGGGAATCGCCCGTGCTCGGCGCGGTGTGGGCGCGGGGCTGGCCGGCGGGCCGGCTTCCACCCGGGCCCCGCAGCGCCGAGCTCCTGCCTCCTCTTCCCCGGGAGGCGGTGGGCTTTGCGGGCGCGCGGCCCGGCGCCCGGCCGTAGCGCTGCTCTCCGCTCCAGGAGCACCGTCCTCGTCCTCAGCTTCCCACCAGTCCTCCGGTGCCGCCGGTGTGCGCTCGGGCCTGATTTATTTTGTTATCGGTGACCTATCGAGTACGGGCAGCCGGCTGCCACTCCCCGAGTCCTTCAGCGCTCGGTGCCCCAGCTGCTGCCTTCGATTTGCATCGATCTCCCATCTCTGTAGCGGCCCAAGTTGCTTTTTTTATTGTAATCCCCTGTCGGTACCCCCGGCTGCCTGCCGAGGCTGGTGGGCGAGCGGAGAAGAGGGAGCTTTGTTCCCATTTAGCAGCTCTTATCAAATATTAGCGGCACTTTCCCACAGAAACATTCCGAAAATACAAAGAGCTGCTTTGAGTGGTGAGCAGGGAGAGATCGCCTTCGTGCAGAGGGGTCCTCGCTGGATGTGGTGTTTTGGTGGCGAGGCTCTCCTGGGAGCGGAACACTGATGTTGTTCTGAGGGTCTGGGTGTTGTGGATGGATTTGCTGTGGTGTCCTGCATGCGAATAGCTGGGGGTCCTCTAGAAATGCTACTAATTATAAGTATTGTCAAGCAGTGTTGTGCAGGAGGGGTGACCCCAGGAAAGGTGCAACCTGTTGGCAAAAGATCTCAAATGTGTTGTGCTTAGAAAAGGTCATTCTGTCTTAGCAAAGCTCATAAAAACAAAGTGTGCTTAGAAAGCTTGGCTGGTGGGAAATAGCCAGGGATGTCTGTTCTTGGTGAAGTTGCTGCTAGCGGTGTAGTGGTACCCTGGTATGGGTGATACAGAAAGCTTTTGGCAAAAATCCTGCTGACTCCAGTGAAATACTAAACTATGGGCTCGATAAAATCGCTGCCTTCCACTTATGCCTTGCATAAGTAGCTATTCTCCGTTCAGATACAAATGTTTCTTCCAGTGCTGTCTGCCATGAAATTCCATTTTCTGGACTCATTGAAGCGTCCTTTACTGCCTTTTCCTGTTGCTCTTTTTTTGGGGGAGGAGCTGCTGGGTTGTGAAGGCCTGCAGAAGCTTAATAGGAATCCCTAGAAGTGTATTTCCAGCTGCTTGCCTGAAATCCACGCTGCTTTAGACTGTTTGGGGTTGCTTGCCGTGCTGCTCTGCCTGGAAAGCTACTGTTACACTGATGGGTGAGAACTTGCTTCAGGTTCTTATCGCAACCTTACTTGCAGCCAGCATGAACCCATCTGTTTTTGTGCCAACACCACCTCTTCTCTTCTCTGGTGCTTTCAGAGTGTGCTTTGCTCTTGGCTTCTTCTTCCCAAGCCCCACGGCTGCTGTTTTCCAGGTTAGCTGCCTATCTCTGCCGTGCACATGTTTGCTTAAACGAACCCCAGAATGTGACTGACCCAAGCAGGTCTCCTGGGGATGCCACACGGTGTCACACAGAGTTCCTTTGTGCCGTTGTCTTTCACCACTCCATCAGGGTGGTGGCTTGCAGGTCGCAGCAGAAAGCTAATATCCAATCTCTTGTTCCATTGCATTAAAGACCTTCCAGCTATTCAGACAGCTTTTTGAGGAGCCTGAAGCGCGTGGCCTTGCCTTGCTCCATCCCACCTGTATTTCTCTTCCGTGGGAGTTTCTGTGCTGCTCCAATTCTCTGTACTGCCACCAATTCAACTTTTCAAGCTGAAGTTGCTGCTGGAAAATGTTCCGGTAAGGCTGATCCAGATGACGGGTTCAGAGAGCATTACAAGGGGAGCCGTTAGCTGGTGAGGCTGAGGACAGCATAACCTGTGGCTGTCTTAGACTCATTGCCCTTTTTTTGGTGGATGTCTCTTAAATTGCCGCTTCTTCGGAAGCAACCAACTGCCACATGTTTCAGGTTGCATGTGAACTCGTCTATAATGCCATACAGAGGGCCTTCAGGTGATCCATCTGGCCCAGAATTCTGCTTACTGGTAAGCAGCAGCAGGTGCCAAGGATAGGAGCACACAAATATGGCAGTTTTGAGGAAATATTGCTCTGTTTTTCTCATTCCAACATTCTGTGACCTTCCTGAGCTGGGCTTAATAAGAGTTAAATCTTGTGCCCTGCCGGGGATCTGCCCACTCACTTGAATCATTGTGGTGCTCAGAGGACACTAAGCATGGAGACTACTTCTTGTGTAGCCCACATACAGGGAAGGGACAGAAAACAACAGGGATGTCAAAAGGAAAAAAAAAAAATAGCAAGGAGTAGATCTGGAACAAATTGCTTCTTCACTCTTTCCATGGTATTGATAATTTCAGGAGACTCCTTTCTGGGGGAATACACTGCTGAAGTCCTGTTCCTGGGCGCTGGCTTCAGCTCTTTCTGGTGATTTTCTTTGGAGTTCATCATTTCTGATGTCCTGTGCTTTGATTCTATCACCTACTTGTGTCTTGAGGTTTTGCTGCAATTCCTTAGAGTCACTGCCCTTATTTACTGATAATGTTAAATTATTCAGAGTGGCAAATGTTGTCATCTCAGTATTGCCTTCCTTGCACCGTTCAGTAGAGTGGAGCAGAGCAGAAAGCAGCTGTGAGTCCCTCTGCTACAAAGATGATGCCCTTCTTCCCTGGTTCTTACGTGCATTTTTTTAACCAGTTACTTAAGTTTTTGAAGAATTTTTCCTTTTATCTCGTGACAGCTTTGCTCCCTGCAGACTTTTGGTGAAGGATTCAGGTACCCAGCACAGCTTTGAGCAGGAAGCTATGCAGGGCATGTCCCCATCCTGCTCTGGCACGATACGGTGCCTCGGATTCTCCTGTCCCACAGCGTGGTCCGATCTCATTGTGGTGGCTCATACTCAGCTTCTTGCTGTTGGAGATAAAATGAGGCACCGCCACCCTTCCTGCGTGTTGCTGGGGAGAAGTTGCTTTATGATGTTTAAGAACTGGTCCTGGTGTTGCATGTTGACACAACGCTCAGTGGTTTGTGTGGAGGCTCAGTTTAATTCCGTGCTTCCTGCTTGTCCAACCCCCTGGTGAGCACAGCTCTGCTGCTGTCGCTGCTGGTGCGGCTGAAGCCATGCTGGTTTGAGCTTGGATTTCTGATTCCCTTCTTCATGACACGTTGAGCTTGGATCTTGCAGAAGTTCAGTGCTTGGACACCGAGTGTCCTGTTGACCCCTCTGCCCTTCCCTGTGGTTTCAATGTGTGCTGCCCCCGCATTGTTGCTTAGAAAGCAGGTGCTTAAAGAGTTTCTCCATCATCTTAACTTCCAGTGTTGATGGAGGAACACACACACGCCTCAGTTTTGGCTTTCCATCCTATTTCACTTGTACTAACTTTCATTTTTCTAGCTTTGATTTCCATATGGCTGCCCCTTGCCCCCCTGTAAGATGAGATTTTATGAATCAGCTTCTCTTCCCCCAAAAGCCACGTGATCCTGGGACACATGTTCCCCTCTCTGCTCTCGTGCTGAAGTGTCAGAGGAGTCTTTAATCTCTATTCCTGGTGCCCATTCCGAGTGCTGTTTTGATTGAATCAGACCCCTCATTCTTGTACAGGCTTCCAGTTGTTCAGAAACCTCAGTTCCTCATGAGTTGGAGCCCGAGTGTGGGAGCAGTTCTTTGAAATGCTGTCACGGAGCTGTTGGTCATCGGCTCCTCATTCTCAGCCCCCAGAAACTTCCCCTCATCTGTCAGCAGCGCTCGCACAGACCGCAGCCAGCAGCTCCTTCCAGTGTTGTTTCAGAGTGCGTCCTTGCAGAAGGAGGGGGGGCTGAGCAGCCTCTGGAGCTGGGCGAGGTTGGTGGCTGTGGGGAAGTGATGGCAGCAGGCAGCTTGAGCTGCGGAGGGCTGAGAAAATGGAGGGCTTTGAGGTGCAGAAAGCACGGGTTGTAGGATAGGTATGGGAAGGTAAACACCTTAGACTTGTGCTTCCTTAATCATTACGTTCCACATTAAATCCCTATCTTCTAAAGATGGAGGAGGTATTCTAAGTCTTTGCTAGATGTCTCTTCAATTTCTGGTTCAGAAATCCAGACCGCTCATGCAAATAAAGCAGTTGGCACGACCGGCACGGAAGCACAGATCACTGTGAGGTCATCTCCATTTTCTCTTGGCGTTTCCTATGTTACTCCTTTAAAGCCTATTTAGAGCAGCTCATGTTCCCAATGGATAGGTGTCTCTTACCTGTCTGAGTCTTCTGTTTTGGTTTGCTCGTCTGTGAGCAAATCCCTTCTGGATAATAACTTAATAGCCTGAAGAACTGACAGCCATCCTACCCAGAAGATTAGGCTGACAGTTTGCGCTTTGTGGAGGCAACCGAATGGTCTTGTTCCCAATGCGGGAATTGGAGATATCTCACAACGGAATACAGAAACTGCTTTCTGTCTGCCTGTGCTATCCTGCTGCTCTTTTTTTCCCTCTTAGATTATGTTATGACATTCCTTTAGACCGGGAAAACTGCAGCTGTTTACAAAGAAACGAACTTTTCTTTGCGGTCCTGAACCCGCTGTCCTTTCTCTGAGGCTGTCACGTCTCTGTCGTCTCGCAGGGTGAGCTGGCCATGTAGCACGTGCTATGGTAGAGAGCAGCCCACAGCTTGTTAACTATCTTGAGTTCTTGCTGTCCCATATATG